TTTTCGTCTGTGTTTACTTGTGTCTGGAGCTCTGCTCGTGGCTGTGACGGTGTCCTCGGCTGCGTGAGCGGGATCGGCTGCGATGCCGTCTCCTCCTCTCCCTGGAGCGTGAGCGGGAACGGCGCCTGTCTCGTGACGAAGAGCGTGAGCGTCTCCTTCTGCGGTCACGAGAACGGGACCTGGCAAAGACAGCAGACAGCATATTTCATTAGCTCACTTGAACAGAACAAATTGGACTCATAAAAGCCTGGAACGAATGAACTGACAGATAGAAGAGGGAGCTTCCTTACCTTCTGTGCTCTCTGCTCCTTGATCTTGTCCTATAAAATAAAACCACAGAGTTAAACAGTAAAACACGCACTGCTGTAAATGTCATCGGGATTTTAACATCGGCACTCACCTCCTCCTCATCCTTTCCTCCTTCTCCCTTTCTTCTCGTCTCTTTAAGCGCTCCTGATTCCTCTTCTCTTGCTTCTCGACCACAGTTTTCTGATAAAAAGAAATAAATAAATTCAGTCCAAACAAATATCTAAAGCCTTTACATCATCCTCCCTTTCTAGCGAGTATTCAGCACCATGTCACTCATATTTTTATGAGTTGGCTGTAAACAAGGTATACACACCTTTAGCTGGTCCAGTTTTTCTCTGATCTGAATGAAGCCGAGGTGAAGCTTCCCGCCAAAATGGTCAGCCAAACGACGGTCGTTGTCATGGAGACCAAGGTAAGCAGAGCACACCTCACACACCCGAAGCTTCTGCTGCTGAAAGCTTGAGGCTGGCATGGAGTTTCTGTATTCTTCCTGAAATGGTTCAAGAGGGAATAAAAGAGACAGCGAGGTGTCAGAAGTTCAGAGAATTAAGAGACAGAAAGCACCACAAGCTTGAAGTTCTAAGAGCTCATTCCTTACCTCTGCATCCTTCTTCTTCGTGCGGACCTTCTCCACCTCTTGCAGGACTTTCTGAGCCTCATCCACATTGCCCTCAGCTCCGAGCTGTTCAGCCTTGGCCAGGAGCTTTCCTATTTCCTCATTTAGCTCATGCACCTTCTCTGCCTACAAAACAGCCACACCAACACAAGAGACAACAGGTTATGTTGAGCGAAAAAACACACTGACAGGGTCCACTGGATGTTGCATAAGGAACGCCAGACTTTATGAAGCATAAAGATGTTGCATCATTCACCTTTGCTGCCACCTCTGCACTGATCTCTTCTTGGGTCTCAGCCAGGCGCTTCTTGGCCAGTTCTGTCCTCCGATCGCAGTCCACAATAAAAGACTCTAGGTGATCCACTGCCTGTAGGAGCAACACCTTTTATTAACACACTCAGCAGTCACTTTATTACTTAACTTAACTGCTTGGCAAATACAAATGTTTTGATTTGCACTTGCATCATTTCAAAAACGCTTTTGGCACGAATGGTGCTGACTTGCAAGACAGATAGACAGATAGACACTTTATTCATTCACAAGGGAAATTATTGTGTTACAGCAGCACGATAAAGAATACAAGTAGTACTCTTTAACTATGTTTATTGATTTATTGTAAAGTAAAAGTGCCACAAGCGCACACCTAGGGCCTTAAACCGTGAGAAAAAGCAATTTTTTTAATATGCACAACATTGATAAAAAACAAAGAAAACATAAAAATGAGTTAAAGAAAAGTGAAAAGTCTAAGATTGTGCAACTTGCATTAATAAATAATA